AGAGAGAGAAACACGATGTGGAGAGACACATCAACTGGGGTGGGGAGCGAACCCACAACCCAGGTACATGCCTCTGACTGGAAATCAAACCTGGTGCACAGGCCGATGCTCTAACCACTGAGCATGCCAGCCAGGGCAAAAATAGGTATTCTTTAGATTCATTCACACCATACAGCTATTGTGCTGGCAGTTGTCATTTTTTTATTTGATAGTGTAAGGGAAAAGAGGTCAGTGCCCCTGACTAAATAGTCAGGTATTGCATGTTTTAAAAATTCTTGCAGCTCACTGGTTGAAAATCTCTGGTATATATGTTATTATTATCACCATTTTACAGACGAGGGGACTGAAGCACAGACAGAGGTTAATAAATGGCCAAAGATTTAAATTTAGGCAGTTTAGTTCAAGAGCCTACACTTTTAACCACCATGCTAGAGTAATCACAAAGCCTGTGTGTGTGAGATTTTTAAGAATAGCATTGAAGATCTGAAAACAAACAATAAGGACTGTTTTAATGACTTTCAGCTTCCACTGTGGAAGATTATGTCCAGAAGAGCATGAGAAAAAATTAAAATTTGTGTGGAGATTAGAGGGAACTACTGATAACTCTAAATGACATGCACAAGAATTATGTGACTCATTGATCTTTTTATATGGTGAAAGGACCTAGATTTTGGCCATAAATTTGTGTATTTTTTATATCCTCTCAGTAAATGATCTTGATATATTTGATCTTTTGATATTTAAGAAAAAAATGAAAATTTATCACAGTAATTAATTAATGCTAGGAGTTTCTCTAATTATTTCTAATGGACATTAAATTAATTCTGTTAAGTTTTGGATTGAAACATACTAGTAAAAACTCTGACTTCAGTAACCAGGTTTGTGAACCTCTGCCAGATAGCTGTCTTTTGAAGATGTTTTAGTATCTTTTAAACACCTTTTTAAAAAATCACAATTAATTTGAATGATGTAACTAGTTTTAATTTCAAACAAAAAATGACAGTTTTAAAGAATAGGAATTTACAGTTTTAAAAAAGTAGTATAAACTTATGATAATGAAAATTTGAAAATCTTAAATTCACATTATATTACCTATGTGACCCTTTATTTGTAGGGAGTCCCTGTTTTCCTTGGCTTTTTTAACTTGATAGTTCTTAACTCCCAAAAATAAACTTAATTTTTTACCACCTCTGACTTGTTTTTATAGGGGCATTGGCTGGATTAATAGACATTGCTGCTGATTGGATGACTGACCTCAAGGAAGGCATTTGCTTTAATGCTTTGTGGTACAACCATGAACAATGTTGTTGGGGATCTAGTGAAACAACATTTGAGGAGAGGGATAAATGTCCACAGTGGAAAACATGGGCAGAGTTAATTATAGGTCAAGCAGAGGTAAGTCTTCTTTGTCTCAAGATGAATTAAAAATTGCTGTAGAGAAATGAACCTCCAAAATCATTTAATTATAGAGTTAATCACAGATGATTGCAACCTGCATTAAAGGGGAAAAAAGAAAGAAATGTAATAGGATAGAATGTAAAATATGAGACTACTTTGCAGCAAGTAAAATATAAGTATTGTTTCAAGAAACTCTTGTATTAATTATACAGTCATATACGAGTCTATTGGGCTATGATGTGAAATGTATTTCTTATTGTAGAAAAGAAGTGCAGTAGGATCTGTGTAACAACCACAAACAGTTGTCATGAAGTCAGGTTACTAAAGCTGCTTAACATATTACTTCACAATTATTTGGGAAGTATGAATTATCAAAAAATTTAGTAAAATAAGGCCTAACTGGAGATATCTTGGAGAAATCCATAGATTTTTCTTCATGGTATTACAGTATTGAAGTGATTATTATCCTGTTCTTGATGTTCTATAATGAACATTTTAGGAGTTAGAATATTATCTATATATATAAAAAGCCAGTGTTCATGATGACCAGGATGACCAAACAACTGGTCACCATGTGGTGCATTGAGCACCTCTCGGTCCCTCCCCCCTGGCCTGCGAGCAGACAGGGTGGGACTGGGGACTGGCAAGTAGGCTGAACGGCTGACCTCTTGGTCCCTGCCCCCAGCTCCAGGTCCCGATGGATCAGTGATGGTGAATGGGGGGGGTGGGATCGGGGTGGGTGGTGGGAGGACCGGGCTGGCTGTCAGGGCATTGGGATCAACAGCTCATCCCTGGCTGCTCAGGGGCTCACGCCTGCGGGAAAGCAGGCGCTGGGTGACTTCACCTCCATGCGTGTGCGACCTCGGGCTGGCCGCTGATGGAATGCGCTGCCTGCTTTGGGGCCGCTCACGCCGGGCAGCAAGGTCATGGCGCACCCTGCAGCTTCATCAGTGCTCAAGCCCAGCAGCGTGCG